CTTACTCCTGCCCAAATAATTCACCACCCCCTATGGTTCAACGGCCCGCAGTGGGCTAAATCCACCTTTTCGGAATGGCCAGTCACCGCTTTCAATCCTTCTGCTGTTATGGACCCGCCTGAGGAGAAGAAACTCTCCTTTGTTACTCGTACACCGCCAGAAGAATCTGTTTTCATCGCTCTGGCAAATCGCTTTTCTTCTTGGTCCAAGCTTCTTCGCTGCGTAGTTTATGTCTGTCGTTTCGCAAAATTATTAACACCCGCACATATTTTAAATTTTACTCCGTTGAAATATTTGCCCGCCGCAGAAATAGCTGACAGTTCTTTGATTTCACGCCACGCATTATTAGACAGATTAGTGCAAACGTTCTGGAAGCGATGGAGAGCGGAGTACCTGCACACATTACAATCTCGCGAAAAATGGAATACACCCGTCAATCAGATTACTGTCGGAACTGTTGTAATTGTACGTACTGAAAACGCGCCACCACTTCATTGGCCTTTAGGGGTTATTGAAGAGGTCTTTCCGGCTTCTGACGGCGTAATTCGAGTTGTTCGTGTAAAAACTGCAACCGGCTCTTATTTGCGCCCGGTTGTACGTCTGTGCCCCTTACCTAGACATTAGTTTTAGTTAATACGAGTTCTAGGTTAAGGTTTAGTTTATTTTAAGTTTCTATTTTTACTTTGAAGGCGTCCCTTCAAGGCGGGGGGAATGGTTGCGCCATATAACATTACATTTTTGTTTATCATTGTATAATTATTATTAGTAATAGTTTGTTCAAATAAATAATTTAGCGTGGTACGAAACGTTAATTTTCTAAGGATTGGCACTACACTAATTCCTTTATCCTCTCCTATTCCCGCACATACCTTTGTTTTAAGTGCGAGCGAGAAGATTCGCTTGTATCGAAAGTGACATATCGCGCTCGCGCGACGCTGAAGTTGACATTGAATTCCCGCCTTGATCGCGCTTAAGATCAAGTTTTTTTGTAATTCGTGATAATTACTAAACATTTTAATCCACCGCATCGCTCTAGTGTGTTTAAGACCATTGTGTTTGTGCCATTGTTGTGAAGCAAGTAGCTGGGACCTGGAGACACCGATAGCCGCCGCACTGCAACCTACAATTCAAAGGTACTGTGCCTCCTTCCTTACCAGAACTGTCTTTCTTTGTGTTCCATCCTCACAAGCAGTTCTCAATCACCAACCTAACAGTGTATCGTGTCAATCCACGTACCCGTCAGATTATTTAGATACAGTCCACTTAAATCAAAATCAAACAATATTTATTTCACCCGCGCCGCCAGTTATAGTGTTTTCGATTTGGAACTATTTTAAAAAGTACTATATTTATCTATACATTTGTTTAAATAATATTAATAGAAAATAATAAAAACGTCAAAATAATCTTATAAAAACTGCCATCTTTTTCGTACACTAATTCCATTCAGATATCTGTACCCTAAACATACGTATAAATCCTTTAATTCACTATTCTCACTCCTTTTCATTCAGATATTTCGTCTACAAAGTTAAAGGACAGACTAAATAGGATTAACCTAGTATTGGAATCAATAGAGATATTTTAATATAATATTTTACTATGACAGTATATACGTAATTATAATTAAGTATCATATGGAACTCTGGATTCCAAAATGATGCATGAAATGAAACATATGCCGTTTGATACTTAAAGTTGAGTTATACTACGCCTTAAAGTACGGTGTAAGTGACAGGCATTACTTATGAAGACTCACTCAACACAATAACTGATTGTGAGAAAAGTGTTAAAATGTCAGCTGTCATTCACACCATGGTACAGTGCCCAAAGTATAATTGTAAAGAGAAACATAATTTCAGCCAGTATGAAATGGAAGAAAAAGTATACTTATGTATGTATACTAATTTGAAAGTGTAGTGTAATTTAAAAGTATAATCATAAATATATGATCTATCTTGATACTAAATTAATTACCTTGAATTTATTATTTTATAACAACGTAAGTTGTTGTTATGTAAAATGCAATGGTAATAACATTAAAATACTATTTCTTTTCATGAATGTCGTTACCTCATCAATTGCCGTTCTTAATAACCAAAATACATAAACAAACGGAGGACATTACAAATTGTATAACACATATCAATAAATTTAAATGGTACTAAGTTATTCAATGGAAAGCAAGCGTTACTAACTTTCAAGGTTCTGGTGTTATTGCCACTTCTAAACTTTCAGACAAATAGTCAAAAACGGCTACAATATTATTACCAACATAAAAGAACTGTTTACGCCAGACTTCCTCCTAACTGAAATATAAAAAGTCTCGGTTGGCGAAAAGAAACTCAATAAGCACAATTTTAGAACAAGTCTGAGAGTGGCGAAGTTTAGCAATAAATCGCAGTGGAGTACCGTGATCTCGAAGTAAACTCTACGAAATAGTTTTAGTGTCCCAAGAGGCAAATTAAAACTAATCGCACCAGAATGTAGTGTGTAGTGAAACGTGTAGTTTAACGTGATCTGAATACTTGGCCGGGTTTTGAACCTCAAATGTAAATATAATACGGGACGGGATGAAAACAACACGCTTGAAAAGTCCATTAGTTGGAAAAAACACATGAGTTTTTTACTGCGAACGGACTGGCCACTCTTGGTGAATTTAAAATGGAGCTTGCCGCTTTGAATGTCGGCATCTTCCCATTTATAGGATGTGTTGCCGCAAGACAAAACCCCCGGGAATTACTCGTGTTGTTCAAATACGAGACGGGGCGTAATATCTGTTCTCTTTGAAAACTAGAAAACCTTAGAAACGAACAAAACAGGAATGCAGTTCACTTTTACAGCAGGCGAGAAAATTTTAAGTATTTACGGCTTTACTGAATTGCTATGTTTGGAAAGTGGTTATTTATAGCAAACTTCTATTTTAAAACATAGTCAAATTTAATATTTCGTTTCTATTCTACATATATAAATTTATATAATATTTATGCATATTCTTTAATACATAAGTTCGATAGAATGATTCCATTGTCCACAAGAACGAATACTCTGTTTGTTACCCCTTTTAAGATACACCTTTTTGAACATCAACAAGACATAACCATAGAACACAAGTACACAATAGACCACAAATGCAACCTTAAACGGCTACATTTGAGCTTTACATTTAATGTTATGCAGTTTATTTTATTCTAACGTCATGTAGTCTACAGCGCTCGTGAGTACAATTGTAATACATTTAACAAAGTCAAGCTTACTGAAATCTATACAACTTGATTAGACAAGATCCAAATAATATAAATATATGTTTCCCTTCGGATCTATAGGAGAGTAAAAATTATATACAATATAATGCAGTGGTATAAATAACGATAGTAAAAATCAAGGCACGTGATTATGAATGCTTTATAATTATGACCAGTTCTAAAGAATAACTGTATGTAGTAATAGTTATTCTATGCTATTACTATACATCACTCGAATTTGTGTCTTGTACGTTTACCGAGCTCAGAGCAATAAAATAAATATATTATCATAACAATAACGCTAACGCGCTGACGGCCTTAGCGATCTCGTGGTTTAGCACAGTCCTTTTCTTTTGATTGTCGCAGTTCGATTCATCATAGAACACAAAATATTATGTTCGTGAGTATGATTGTTTGCATTGATCTGGGTGTTTATGTATAGGTCAGGTATTTAAGTATGTATATTTATCAGTTTTCTAGTACCCATAACACAAGCTCTGCTTAGCTTGGTAATAGATGGCGCTGTGTAAATTGTCTTGGGTTATTATTTTAATTACAAAAAGTTTTTATCGTTTATCTCAATAATGGAATATACCGAATAGAAAATAAGACTACACCTAAAACAGCAGCAGTAACAAATGATAATGCAAACAATGAAAAACGTAGCTTCTGTATTCATCTCTCATTTGTCGTGGGCCGGAGAGACAGTCGGCAATGGAGACAAAGTGAGGCGAATTGCGGGATCCCACCCTAATGCTACGGCCGGCTCTTGCCTGCCCATTGTACTTGAAGCCTCACAAACAAGATGTTTTATGAACCTACATTAGGGGGCAATGGATCGAATTAGGCCGGTAATTTGTCGTATTGTGGTGGCTTTAGTGGAACCACCGAACAATGCTTATTTCGTTGCACTAAGTACCAATTTTTCTTTTATCTGTACAGACGAATTAAATTAGAAATTGACTTTGAATTACTTCTATCTTAATTATGTATCTTACCTGTGAAATTTTATATTGATTTATTGAGATAACTAATCAATATAAAATTTGTGTTGTTTGATGGAAGTACAAAATAACAAGCTTCTATGATTTATGAAAGATCTTGTCGACTCATACAACTTTGAGAACGCACATGAGTCTTCTTAAACAACCTACTAATCTGTAATAATGTATATTGCTTACTTGCGCCCCACCCCAAATTTGCACAAGTATTTAACAAAATATTACACAATCATAAATATCTATTGCATCCGTTCATCAGGGATAACGTAAGATTAGTAAAAGAATTTTTCAAATTGGTCCAGTAGTTTCAGAGATTATATAATGCAAACAAACAAATAATCTGTCATTTTTTCTTTATAATATTAGTACATATTTTAAAATTTATATTTATAAAATGCAAGTCAAAATAGAATACAATTTCTATTTTTATTATACATATTTTTTGCCTTTTCTCTTGCTTAATTCACTTTTGTAACTCGTCTCATGGAAACAAGCATATCTTAATTTCTCCATCACAAAATAAACCATCTATAAAATTAATATTTATTTTATATTTCAATTACAACTTGATAACAGTTGTTACATTAACGTAATAACTTAATTTTCAGTTTTCGTAGAACAGAAATATTCCTATATAAAAAAGCTATTTCATTACTTTGTGTTATATTAAAATTTGTCGAAGTTATTATGGCTCGCGGCATGATGATGATATAACGTTATTTAAAACAAACTTTGTATCAGAATGTTAACTTACTCATATTCCGACGCCCTGGTACGTCTTCGCTGACGTTAACAGGAGAACTTGCGCTGTAAATAACAAAAGTTTGTGTAAAACATTTTTAACTTAAAAGACGTACGTGATCGAACGCTATTGGATATGAACACGTTGCATAGTAATAAATTATTTTGTTTTCCGAAATACATAGAAAGTACTATCAGCGGCTGCACTTTGTCTGCCTATTTTCAAAAACACTATGGCTAAAATATAAACATAAGCATCCCAAATTTCAAATTCAATATTAAATAATTTCTGATATTTATAATATTTTTTGTGTTTTCTTTAAACAATAAAGAGATTCACATTCTTCAATTGTCTACTACATCATCATACTACATACTTTATAAAAAAATATCACATTGAGTTGAATTTTGAATTCTTGTAATATTTTTATTATGTGTTTAAAAAAAACGGTAACCTCTAAATAAAGAGAATTGGAAATTTTCTAATGGATGTAAATTACTCCGTCTAATTTTCCACACTCAGAATATGTTTAAATGTATCTTGAAAGCCAGGCATAAGAGCTACGAGTTGTTCATAACACTTGATATTAAAGTAATGTATTTTATTGCAATTACGTAGGTTTTACCTTAAAGACTTCGATGCGTCTGTATTCTTGTGTCCTTGAGATTTTTCGAAGCATTCATAATGAATAATTATTTTTCTTCTTTTCATGAGCACAGTCCACGTGTGACCACTCGGTTTGTTCATACCTATGGAAAATAAAAATATTAGAAAATATAATGCGTCACATGAATAACAAATATTATAATATAAATAACGACATATTCTTCGATAAATAAATTAAGCAGAGTATCCAAGTATAGTAGTAAGTAGTATCCAAGATTCATTTATACTCATCTTTAGGCATCAGGCTTCTATTGTCAGACATAAATTTAGTAGATAAATATAAAACCAACAAAGTCAAAGTTAGCCTCTGTTATTCTAGTTTAAAATTTATACAATAAAAAAAAATACTTGTCAAAGTGTGGTACCCATAATAAAAGATTCAAATTTGTGCCCGTAGCCTTAAGAGCCATTATTAACCTATAAAGTACTTATACCGTCTTTGCTCTCATAATATAATGAAATGTTATTATTTGATTCATTACTGGAATGGAATTGTAAGTTAAAAAATAATAACAAATTCAATAATCATAGTAAAAACTACGTTGCGAATAATTCATAATACAATTATATACCTAATAATGATGAAGCACATTCTAAAGCAAAATTATCCATTAATAAATGTAATAAAATAATTGCTTGTTTTTCCTAAATAAAATAAATAAAAAATCTTCTATAAATCTGAAACCGAATTACAGTTATTTTAGGAAAAGAAAGGTCTGTATTTAGATTATGATTGGCTCCCACGGGTAATCTAACATATTTCCATATACCGCTGAAATATGTAACTGTAATATTCCATTGGAATGAATTTAGGAAATACATATATTACATAACTTTTGTCCTATTAAGTTATAGTTTAATAAACTATGATGACCTTAATAGAACAAAATTTTCCAATTTCATAACAATTTAGAAACTCTCACTTCGTAAAGGTCAAATATGATCAAAAAACTTTCAGACTTAGAACATTAGTGACTGCATTAGAGACTTTATTCAGTATTATCATAAGGTTATTTTAGTTATTGTAAACTTTTATGTATTAAAAAGCCTGTATAAATACCAAGTACGCATTTACCACCCATGAGAGTATGTGAATCTTTTATAATTTTATATTATATTTCATAAGTTACCAAGTTATATTGCTATGAAATGTAAACAGACAAACATGTCAAAGTAACTGATACACATATAAGAGACATAACACGTCTCTTATATGTGTAACTTCAAGAATTGTCGCACTGGAAATTTTCGTATGAAAAATAACCCGAAAAAAGTCGGTTCCCGTATAGAGTTGGCGTCGATAATTCGGCTGTCAGTGGCGATCAACTTTTGGCCTATTATCCGATCGAGCGTCACGTCAGAGCCCAATATAGACACTCTGTGCACCCTCGTCAACCCTGACGGCAGCTGTCGTTATTCCTTGCCGCTTATATGACATGAAGACATAGATTTACGGTTTTATTTATTCCTGGAATTCAAATAAGGCACTCCGTTGGCCTATGATATTACATTGTTATTTTCTATCTGTTGCTATAAATATTATATACAGCTATTATAAAGTCTTCAATTCAATCATTCTACTACTCATTCGGAAAGCATATATAGTATTTCATCGCAAGAAAAAAGTGCAGGGAACGTGGATATGTTTCTCTTAAATAAATGTTGTTCAGCATTACATATTTAGGATTTTGTGTGAATAGCAACAATATTTGTAAAATCTTGAAACTGACATTATGTAATGTAAATATTTTGTTAGAAGCATAAGAATACTTTATTTCAACAATATTAAATATATATAATTATTCGTATACAACTACACTAGCTACACTACACACTAACTACACGGAATCTTATCTATGATCACGGGTTTACCCGTGATCATGGCCGTTGCAACACTGCCGAAATATCGGGAACTTAACAAAAATAAAACGTGGTAAGATCTCGTGATTTACTAATTATACTTATAAATAATGACCGCGTCAAACTTAAAACAGTATATTATAGATGTATACGAATAAATATATCAATTATTGACTATATAAATCAAAATATTAGAAACTATTTTTATTACTAACATTTAATATATCTTTTTAATAAATTGTTCTAATTTTAAAACAATTTTCTTAATGTGTTGAAATAAATGAATACCAAATCAATGTATAATTTTATCCTTTGTTACATTTACAAATTACGAGTGTATTTACGCAATAAAGGTTTTCACCCGGTCATAATTTATACAAATCTCTAAAGAAAACGGATTTGGACAGCAAAATAAATTTTCCACAGTAAACTTTACAAATGGTGATCCGATAGCTTTTTTGGCTTTACAAAAAACGATAGCAATTAAATAAGTACCTAACCTTTTTCGATTCCTTACGTATAGTCTAGAAAAGAGGTGTTCATTCAACAACCTACCATCGCAATTAAATTTGGAAACGAATTGGATCGGGTTGTGGAAGTGGAAGCGGCATTGCCGAAGTGTTCAACAAATAGTCTATTCAATTTATTTCAATCGCACACACTTAATGAGATACGTTTCGAAACGAATACCATACAAATAAACTTGTTTAAATTGTTTTATTGTGTGTCGCACGAATGTACTGTGAGTTTGTAATTCTATATTATTAAATTTACATGTAGGTACGATAATGATTTTGAGAATATGTTATTACGCTGTGAGAGTTTTAGGTTTTGTACAGTATTATAGACTGGCGTTATAATGAATGGGATGCGTTACGTAACATACCTACTAGAATTATAAAACTGTCGTATATTGTACCGAACTTATTATTATTATATATTGCGGACAGAAGTAATCACAATTAAATGTTCCATAGAATACAGTTTACAATTTGCTATATTCTGCGATGTATGAATAATCATTGTTAGCAATCATCCTAATGAATACAAAGCGATTTACTACGTCATAACGAATCACAATATAGGAGGTATTCTATGGATGTGGTACGGTACAGCCATCATTATATGACCATAACCTAGAGAAAGTAGATAACTTAGACCTTTCCCTATATTCTATGCCACCTATATTATGCTAAATGTCATGACGATTAATCGAGCCGGAAAAATAGAAGAAAGAAAAAAGAAAGACATAAGGAAGAGAGGTATCACAACTTATCTTATATAACTATACTCAATACTCAATACTCAATATTTATTGCATTCCATAATATTACAGTGAAAGATGTTTATAATACGTTTTCGATCATTATGGACCCTGTTAGGGCACGCAAACATAACATTATTATTACTATTATTATAAATAGTTATAACATATAATTTAATATTATTCATCCAGTTATACATTGTAATATACATTAATTAAATGTTACATAAAAACTAAAATACATCATTCAAATAATCACTTACATTATAATATTGTTTTTTACATAGTAAATCCTTTAAGTATTTTATAAATAGGCTATTCTTATTTAAAGTTCTTATAGAAGTTGGGAGTTGGTTAAATATTTTAATAGACGATACCAAGGGGCCACTAGAATGTAATTTGAGACGAGAGGTGGGTAATTGTATTTTTTTATTATTACGCAACGCGTAATTATAGTCTGTGTCTTCTCGCAACTTGTACAGTTCCGGATATTTTTTTACAAATTTACACACTTCCAAAATATAGATGCAAGGCAGGGTGAGTATATTATTATAAAATAAGGTTTAAATGTTCTTATGTTAAATATTATTCGTATTAATCGAGTACGGAAAAATGTTCCCCCACATAACCACCCCATAACTGACCCTTGCATGTGAAAACCCATAATTGGTGGAAAGGGCATTACAGACGTCTGTAGTCCTTTTCACTTCCCGAAGAGAATAAACGAAACTAGACATTTTTGTTTTTATCTTTTGTATGTGTGCTTTCCAATGTATATGGGTATCTATTACTAAACCTAGAAGTGTAAATTCATTAGCTGTTTCTATTGTGATGTTGTTAAATTTAAAGTTTATATTTAGGGGTTGTTTTTGATATGGATGAAAGCTGATGATTTTAGTTTTTGAAAAGTTAATAACTAGATTATGTAGATTCATCCAATTTACTATTTTTTCCATAATTTTCTGTAATTTATCGTTTAAATCAATGTTAATATCATATGAAGTCAAAAGTGACACATCATCCGCAAACAATACGCACAGTTCGTCTATAATTTTTGGCAGATCGTTTATATATATTAAGAACCATCCAATTAGGTATACCACTTGATCTTATAGTTTGTATTTGTTTAGTGTATAATTTATTTCTACAAATTACTGCCAAAACGATTGAAACCATTCATGAGTTTTTCCTCTAATGCCAATTCCATATAATTTATTCAGTAATATATTGAACTGTACTCTGTCATAAGCTTTGGACATATCTAGTAATATACCTATAGCATATTTTTTGTCATTTATGATATTGAGAATCTCCTGTATATATTTGAATATTGCTAAGGTTGTGGATCGATTTTTACGAAAACCATTTTGAGAGTCATGAAAGATATTATATTTTTCGCAAAATTTATAGACGCGTACACACATGGCTTTTTCGAAAATTTTATTTTCGAAAAAGCCATGTGTGTTTTACTCTATACCTAAAGGGAATTGTATAACTATTCTACACTTATACAATTCCCTTTAGGTATAGAGTCAGTTAAATTTTAATCTACTACGAATCAGAAACGATGCTTGCTTCCTCTTTAGTAACAACAATAGTCTACACATATCGTATATATTATACTTATAACTGTTCGATATTTTCTATGTACGAATTGACGCGCAGGTATAAATCATAGGTACTCACCTAGTTCCCCCTCAAACGGGTAGTTATTACCTCCTCCCACCCGCCGACATCTGCAGAAAAAAATCACAATAAGCATATTGAATATCTACTCATTCGTAACGCTTGCTGTTTATGAATTAGTAATTTGTTGAGGGATTTTTATATGTAAATTGGTCAAGATTGGATCAAACATGCTGACGATCCACCTGATGGTAAGCGATATATCGTAGCTAGCACATATACATGAATAGCACTACGGATATTACGTTAACATATAACAACCGTGATACCACTCACATCTACATCACACATCACACACATCTACTGCACATTCTAGAGGACTAACATAACAATCCTATTATCTTATGCTGTAATTTCACTAATCTGTACCCTACAACCGAAACATAGCTTACAAAGAAAGCTACTTGACCGTTATATAGTTCTGAATATATGTAGAACAAATGTCCCTAAATTAAAGAAATATATTGTTGACTACTCTATACAAGTTTACTAAAATAATGTACTAAAATATCAATACACAGTACTTAATACTGTATGGCGACGAAGATGCTAAACACCTGTCACGTGGGATTTGAATATGCTCGGTAAAATATATACAACAGTTAACAGTCGACAAAATGTCCCAGACTACCCTATCCCATGGGATTAATGATGCGGGGAGCAGTGACAGTTTATATAGTCGGTAAAACGCGTGGATGTCATTCTGGATTTTCCACCGACTTGCTAATTCTTCGAGACTGAAAATGCTATCCGAATATTGCTGTAGCATTATTAAAATAATGTGCATAAATATAAAGATTATTTAATTTCTCTCTTATCTTGTTTAAGTTTAATATTTGCCGTCGTAGGTCCTGTTTGGAATAAATAAAGATTTTTTTTATCTGAGATAAGTCTAATTGAAAAGAAAAACAAGCTGACAGCTCAGGTGTCTACTAGATTTTCTTTCACAAAAAATACTACTATATTTTATCAAGATTAGTGTCGAATCAAAGTCCCAAATCAAATCCGTTCAATTTAAATAGAGTCATCTGAAATGTTGAGTTCATCTTGTTCATAGAAATGTATATTATACGATATAACAAATACGTTTCATTTTAACATTTTCACTATTGCAAACGTCATCATTTTCGAATTAATCTTTTGAAAGTATGATAACAGTAATTGTGGAAATTTAAGTTAGCATATCCAATTCATTCAGTACATTTCCAACCACTATAAAACATCAATGAAGCACCTAACAAGTACACTTTAAGAACACAATACATCCCCGCTTCATACTATGAACCTACCATGTACCTCTTAGCGGCACTGTCAAGCATCAGCTTGAACTGCGTTAGGTGCGGTCAACTCATTTTTCAACAATATTCACCTTTATGTATACTGACAGAAGAATACGGGCTGAAGTGTGCCCTTTTAAAGAGACACTGTCGTGGAGTACTTTGTAATCCTTATATTCCTTTAGTGTGAGACATAATCTCAAAAAGTATTGCTTTTATTATGAATCTTCACTCTGCTATATTCCATTTTTATTTGCAAATACTACTACAATTAATATTATAAAGACTAACGTCACCAATGACTAAATCTGATATTGGAGATAAAAGACAGCCTACGTACGTCCTATACATATTTTCACTTCGAATTTGATAATGATTCTCGTTTTCATTTATAATATCAGTATGGATTTATTTATACGCAATTCGAATATTTGTTTAAAATATTAAGATTCAAAATATTTCTAACTCAGTCATGTTAAAAAAGGATGCGAAATGGTGGACGGAATTTTATACACATGCCTGTGTATGTGTATAAAACAATGAACCATGACTAAATTACTAATTACATACAAGTATTACGGCAATATCAAAGAACACAAGTATATAAATAAATTGATACGGTTCTTGTTCCGTTATCCCGCTTTTATAATATATACCTATACAAATTTAAAAAACCCTCAAAAATTTTAAAAAAGTGTGTATATATAGATATAGCAAGAATTAGGGTCTTAAGTCTCCACTATATTCCCATTATAAGATATAATTTTCAATTGAACGAATTTCCATTATTCAATTTCGCAAGAATTAAGAAAAATCTCCTTAACAATATCGGTGTCGACATTAATACCTGTATTTTTACGCGAATAAGAGCAGTCGTATTAATTCCATTTTTCCATTAGTACATAATGTATTTCTCACAATAAATTCCGTTGTTAACTCGGCAAATAGGAACTGTGTATTGTTCATAAGACCGCGTCAAAATATCGACAGGAATGATGGATGACGCAGCCAGAAATCCATGGAATACTTAATGGCGTCGAGCCGGCAATTTATCATACACTGATTATTTTCGATTTCCCTTTGATATTGGTGTACACGTAAAGGAATACATATCTCAGTACTAAACTAGGACATGTACAATTAATAAGTGATAAGGAAAATATTAACTTACATGGTAGAGAGAATTAACTTTGTATAGGTAATAATTATTTGATTTGAACACGACATAGCGATAAAACATGAATTTATCCACAACCTTTCAGATTACACTGCTGACCTGCTAGCATATACCATTAGAGTAGGGATCGACATCATACCATACATACCAAGATACCATACATGCCATACATATCAATGATATAGCATATACCATATAGCAGGCGGGATCACCATACACAAAAAAGATTAATATTTAGCAAGTAGGAAAAATATTACGAAACCAAAAAAGATGGGTGAAAATCCTAATATCTTTTATAAGTCTTTGTTTTATTATTATTTATATATCATAAATGGTAATAAAAACAGTAAAATACCAACATTCATTCTTCATACCTACTGTTCTAATTTTTAGCAGCACCAATCTTTACTACATAGTATATATGAATAATAAATCTACTTACTAATTTTAATTATATATATATATAGTTCGCTTCTGAAAAAAACTAGTGGATATAAATGTATAAATAACAAATGTATCCTCGCTGCCTGCTTTTGTAGATATATTTATGTTATACCCTCGTGGGGAATCAGCAAGGGAATGTGCAATTTTCCACGCCGTTCTCGCCTTTTTTGCCGCTACATGCAATATCGTTCAAAAGTAATAGGGGACTGACACTCCCATAATATTTTATATGAGACAGCATAAAGTCTAATCTGCTTATTATTATTTCCATAGCATTCCATAATAATATATACATTATGACTTGAAAGGGCAAGTTCACATAAGAACCAACTGATAATTATGAAAATGATCAATTTTATCAAAGAAATACAGTTGGAAATAAATGTAAAGGATAGACACCAATAATGACACAAATTGTTGTATTAATACTATCACATTTTATATAAATACATACATTATATGTATTACACGTGTGTCTTTGTTTGTACAAACTATTTCACTCATCTCCTGAATATTTTTTAAAATAAAAAATAACCTATTTTAATCTTCATCAATCTATTTTTACGTCATTAATATCTGTTTAATACAGATAGTTGATGACGTGTCTGTCTAATTTCTAATTATACACCTAATAGGTTTTGAATGGATTAAAATCTATGACGTGACAACCTGACTTGCAGTTATACACCTAACTGCATCTGAAAGGGTTAAAATCAATCCTGAAAACGAAGTAAATATTAGAAAAACACTTGAATTATTCTTTGCAGTATTTTCTTTCCAAAGTAATGTTGGCAAGCCACATTTGTAATACAGTAGGGCGAGAATGAGAACGAGTTGCTTTGAAGATAAGTGTCGCCGTAAAAACAGGCGCGCTATGTTAGCCTGGGCACGTGAAAGGAATGTCGAATGAATGGATGACAATGCATACATGAAGTTGATGTCGAAAAATGCATTCTTGAATTATACATTTACTACGTACTATATTTATATATATGGATGAATATTGAACACTGAACGATATTAAAATCGCTTCAGTATCGCTTGATTGTACGTTTAATGTTGAGGCGTGTCAAAGGTATTTTAAATATGAATGGACTTCATAACGATATTGAAATTACTGAAGTGGTGTTGAAGGATAATTAGACACATCGTGTACTATTAAATGTATGACAATGTAGAAAGATCTACCTATACCTTCGATGTACATATACCTTTAAGGGTCGGTCTTCTTTTAGAATAGTTTTTTATTGTTTATATTAAAAAAATACTCTGCTATTCAGTCCACTTGGATTTTGCCTACAAAGCTACATATAATATTGCCATAAAGCTTTTGTAAACTGTGCTTTAGTTGTAGATTGAGATTAGGCAATAAAAAAATTATAAGATAAGAGGCATGATTTCTTATTAACATATTTGTACATGACATCCTTGATACAATTTATGTACATATATGTGCAAGAACTGCGCTTGACCATCGAATGAGCCGTGAGCTTGTTTGAATTCCAGTCATAATTCACTCGATAATACAATAAAATGCTTACGTAGGTACCATGATAAAACATAAAACTGTTAGTCTTCCACGAAAACTCGGGAAATGTTCGGAAAATCTCATATTTTCTAATATACAGGTAGCGAGCAGGTATGTAAATTGTAGAGTTTAGGCTAAAATGTGAAGTTATGTCTGTGCATCAGTTTAAATCATTTAGTTCAACGCAGTACTTGTAGGTAATTTTTACTTGACGGCCTCAGGTTTAACATGCACTTTACTTCTAGTGATTGTAGGTTTGAAACCTAGGTACAAACATTGTTATTCATTATTATGATTGTTTGTATGGTCGGGTTTTTACTATATATATTTTATTTAGAATAAGAGTGTATTTAAGTATGTATTTTTATCACTTGTCTAGATGACGTCGTGTGAATTGTCCATAGTTTATATTATTATTATAATTAGGTACCGTGGTAGTGTAGTGTGGCTTTTTACGAAGCGTTTGCGACAGTAATATCTCACCTATCTAGAAGTTGTGTTTCAACAGGTTACTTTAGTACTCCAGAACGGTAACAAAAACTAATTATGACCAGTTTCACATGATAACGTGATATCTATGGAGCTATTAATATATATAGAATTGCCACTTACCATCAGGAGGTATTTTAGCAATACTACAGTCATGAGGCTGCTGTTTGGCATTCTAGTTACTTGGAAAACAGTTCTTAGAGTGAAAAAGATGTTCTTCAAATCTATTTGAGATGAAATTGGAAAGAGTTATTTTTGATACCCATAGAATGAATATATATTCTTAAAATCTTTTTGAGACCAAATTGGAAGGAATTACTTTTGATGCCCCATAAAATTTAATCACGTGTTCATCCACTAAATAACAATAAATATGCAGAAAATGCAGCAATAGAATAACAACCCAAAACTTTGTCAAGCAGCACTACACATCCTATGTGGTTGTAGCCCATTCACGTATAAACGAAATTTATAAATATACGAATAATTTTGGAAAGTATACACTCTATCCTGAGGAGACAAAAACAATCGCTCCTAAGAATATTATTCAATTCTTGTCCCTCACGGGTAGGCAGCGTAGGTAACTTTAAAAAAGGGAGAAGACAATAGATCTAAAAAAAAAGTCCAAAACAGTGACAGAGATGGTAATTACTAAATACTAAATAAAAAATATTCTTAAGTTCATTAATTATTTATAATTGGAAATTGTTACGGCCTGTTTCTTATTGTCAATACAGGGCGGTAATGATGGATGGCCGTCGAACAATAACAGACGTTCATCAATTTATCACGGACCGACACTACATAATACATACTGATATACACGTTGAAGCCACAGCTGCTGTAACTTATTGTTTATATTAGGTACTTGCGTACTGTTTTGTATTTATAATAAAAAAATAAACAATAGTAAAAAGGTACTGTATGAAATAAAAAAGTACCTACTTAGGTAATTTTTCATTTTAGGCTTAAAGTTATTTTTTTATTTTCTGCAGTACCTTTTTTTATATTTTTATTAATTAATTATTAACAAAAGAGAATTCGTTACAGTCATGGCTGATATAATTTCTCATAATGAATAGATATATTTGTTCTGTGCGGAAATCGAGCCATTGAAGTAAGGTAAGGCAATGCGCTAAACTATTGTACTAGACCACAAAGTTCGTTGTTCATTATATAGTTGCATTATGGCTCATATTTATAACATATTGTGTTCAAAATATAATCCCGTATAGTACCGTAATCTATCTTTCAAAAGCGCTTGAAATCCAATTCAGCTCGTTCAATGTGCAAGCTAACTGGAATTCCGGACGAAAACTGTTTACCCTCGCGGCTGGCTGTCCAAACGCAGAGAATTTTAAATCAACTTTTTGCTTACGATAATAAATAAAGACTTTTAAATTTAGGTCTTTTACTAGTAGACTTTATAACGTATGTTTTTATTAGTAAGTATAATAATGAACAAGCGGAATGTGACTGATAATGGAAAGTCAGAACTGTTACTTGTCAACAAGAACAATATCACAGATATCAAGTTATGTGAGGACCGTAATAACCACAGAAACAGAGCTTACAAAACAAGGAAATAGGTGAGATAAAGTTACCCATACTTGACTTTGTATAAAGTATATGTCGGCAGTATAATTGTAAACCTTGTCTATTTAGAAGTATTTGACATTTAGAGGAGTAACAATTAAAATTATTCCTATAAAAAATGGGTCGAGCCATGAGTAGTAACTGATAGTAAAATATAATTACAATAATATACAAGCAAAATAAGTGTAATCATTATTTTACTGTATAATTGAATATTCAATTTCATATTAAAATTCTTCAATAATTTAATCATCTACAAATATATTATATAGAAAAACAAAATTTAATCTTAGTATTAAAATGTCAATAACAAAATGTAATCTATCCTTTAAATTGGAAAAAGTGACAATAAAAGAGAAACAAAAAGAAAAATATAATTAATTATTCACGGCCGGGTAGTCCGGCAAAATGTTTATCTAAACAGGGACACGTCAGTTTTTCAATTTTATTAAACAAAACAGGTATCCTAAATTGAATGTTGTAAATGGTGTCATCAATAACCCAGTTAAGCTGGGTGGACAGATAGATTGAGTGGGTTGAGATAAGCTGGCGTCCATGAATCCCATTGTAGATGTCTAATACGTATTATGTATTCGATAATCTAGTTATTGGCAACAGATTATGTGCAATATTAAGTAAGTGAAACCGTCCTGTCTGAGTGCTTTACTACTTTGCTACATCTCAAAGGACATGAGTTCTAATCTGGCCGATACCAAAGCAATTGTATGTTAATTGATATGACATAGATACACAATACAATATTAAGTTTATGTTGTATCAAAAGTTATGGAGAGCGTTCGGAACTACTACTCTCTGCGGCTGACCTGTGTTGTGATGGAAGAGGTTATGAATAATAAGGACTAGTGGTCTCAGTATTATTTAAAACTCTTAGTCATACTCATGAAGGGTGCAGCTTGAAGGGACCGGTCTATTCTGTTCTGCGAAAAATGCAACTCGTTTTTACATTGTTCTCAATTGAATTTTAAAATGTATTTTTGTAATCATGTATTAACTCATCTAAAATAACTCTGCTCTGAGATTGTTGTCAGGTTTTCTTAGCTCGAAAGCACTCTGAATTGATGGCAGATTTGACAAATCATAAGTAATAGATCTCTATGAATAAAGATATTTTGATTTTATATACATATATTGATAATTAGCATTCAATTATACCTATATTTAGCCGTCGACAAGATTGATACTGAGGTCATCAATACTTTATATTTAACTAAATAAAATTATTAACAAAATTTACGGAAACCTAGAGACGTAATAGAGACAACTACATACCAAAAAGCTATACAGTTTAAACTGTTTTCATTTAACTTTACACATTAACTATTAGCCTTTGCTTCGGTTAACGAAACCATTAAACCGCGACAAAACAGCGCCTCACGGGCATTTATCTTCCACGGAGAGTTATAAAGGGCATAAATAAAGCAAAACCTATAAGGCTTTAAAGCAACAATGAAAAATACGAACCGTTTTATGTGGGGCGGCGGCTGGGGTGTGGGGTTCGGTTCCGCGAGCGCGCCTGGCGAGCACGAACAATACCGCCCCGGTGAGAGCACAGCTGCAAAAAAAAAAAACACATGAACAACCGCTCCAATTATTGACGTAGGCATGAGATGAAAACCTCTAGTTACATGCTACTTGTATGGTTCACAATAACAATTAACATGACTTTACAGTTATTTAACAAAAACTTAAAAAATATAATAACAACCCAGTTCAATCCTAACAACTTCGTCTAGTCTCTAAGTAGACCTTTAACTATTGGTACTAATAAACAAGTGGTAAAAATATTTAAATATATCTTGTTCACAGTACATCAATAATAGCAATAAAAATAATCGTACTCGTACGTCCGAGAATCGAGCCCGCGACCACTTGACGGACGGCTTAGCACATTAGCCGTTATACTCTCGATGGCAACTGACAATATTTTCTTTATTAAATTATAAATTCAAAAAAATATCATTCGTGAGTCTTTGCAATTAAAATTTTTGAAGAGAATTCTCTTATTCGCATATAATACATAAAGGATCGAAATATATCCACTTATTTAGAAATACTTAGTACATGTCAATCATAAAACATATTTCAGTAGAGAGATGAAAGGGACCCCCGGATCTTTACTAATCAAGATAAGTAAAGATCAGTCAAGACTGAATTTACATACATAATAACGAGTTGGTATTGAACAGAATATACATACATTCTCTAAGGTAACTTTTAAATAGAAGGCTGTAGATATTGTGTTATAACATAACAAATGAGAAGCAAATCAAATTTCAAATATTATTGATTTTAAACGATTTTTTTATATTTGCTATATAGTAATACACTAAAAATTTTGCTACTTAATGGATTTATATTATTTTGTTGAATTCCGCTACAATAAACATGTGATTTCATCACAAATATTCAGTGGAAACTTGACTACCGTTACAACTAAACTAGCCTACCTAAACTACCTTCTTTAAAAAACTATTATTTACACTTGTTTTACTTATTTAATCTGTGGTTGTAATTAGTAGTTGCACCATTCATTTAAGCATCAATTAAGTCTACTAGCATGAAGATGAAGTCGGGTTGAATAGCTATAGTGGCGAACTCGCCAGGAATTAACTACGATGGTTTCCATGGATCGCGTTAAGGTTGACCTGATAAAGTACATTATCGTCAACGGGACCACGTGTTCCCATTGCTAATAATTCCGTTCTACCTGGCTAGTTTTGTTAGGATTTGGTAGCCCTGCAAATAAAAGAAACATTAGGTCCCAAGACTGCTCTTACGTTGCTGACTATACTCAATTCCATATAGTTGTACTTTTGTTTCTTTTCACTTTTTATTACGACTACGACCCAAATCGTAACCGTAAGCTACGTATTCCGACTTTACAATTCATATGATTTCTACTTCCCGTCATATAGGGTGAGGCACCATTACAGATAATAATATGAAGGAAGGAATATCAGAAATCGATTTCCGGAGGAAACGCAAAGGCTTACTAAGATATTGCCTTTCATATATTCTATATTGGTAATAACATATTTTATTGGCTACATATAGAATATGAGTGACTAAATTAAATCCGATCGGGACACGTTGCTGTGACACATAGGTGACAAAGGTATCAATGGGTAATTTGATATAATCCGTACATAATTCGTCTCATTAATTAGTCTAATATTCATGCTAAAATTGTTATTTATTTGTTTCGTATATACGCCAGCATTTAGCTGAAGTAATTATTAAGATTCCATTTTCATATCAAAAGTTATAAATAAAACCTTAACTGGCTGTCTGATTGCCAGTAAAATAAAGTTGTTATGTTTTTGTTGTCGTTGTATGTCTAGTTGAACTGGTAACAAATATATTTTACATAGTAGATACGTTTAGGTATTAGATACACTTCTCATACTGTTATGTGTAATACAGATGCAAAACCTTGTATATGTCTTTATCCTAGAGACCTATACTAGGTCGCCACTCTTAAAAAAGTGGTCTGCGCCAAGCAGCTTACTATGTAAGCTGTAATTCGGTTGTAGGTTGCAAATTTACCTGTGAAATTACATGATAAGAGACAGAACACATCTTTGTCCTCTGAACTGGTAACATATGTATAGTAGGTACGTTTAGGTAGTAGTAGGTATACTCCTCATGAAGGTATTGATATCTGTAATACAGGTGCAAAATCTAGTTTAAGTCTTTAGGATCCTCGCTTTAAACACTTATCGGCACCAAGCAGTTTACTTTGTATAAAAGCTGTATTTCTTGTAGGGCGCAGATTAGGCAGTGAAATTATAGGATAAGAGATACAACACATCTTTGTCATCTGGATTGATAACCCATGGGTTGTATCGCGAGTGTCATATGTTAACATGATATCCATAGTCCTATTCACATGTATAAAGACGACGGTAACCGTTTACCATCAGGGCTGCCAGCTTGTTTGTCATCTAGTATTAAGTTATCCAGGTATTATTGTTACATTTACTCTCACTTCTTTATAAGATTTTAGTTTAAGTAAACGGTTTGTACATATAAGTCTTAATATGAACTAAACATATTTAAAATCAAAACTTTGAAAATAGCATGGTTGTCTACTATTAGTAAAGTTTGTATTAATTTAAATGAAATAGCACACACACACTATAAAATTTTATTTTAACTTATATTAGTTTTATAAAAATAATATGGTATTTAACTAAATAAAAAACGAGTCTATTTTTACGCACAATCAGTTTGATCATGTTTTTACAACTAAAACCGTTACAAGCAACTGAATATAAAAAAATATTATTCGAATTCACAAAAAACTCAGAGTACTCACAAAGTGACAAAAGTAAGGCGGGGAAATAAAGTATTTTTATAGAATTCCATAAATTTTCCTTTCAAGTCCAACGACGATTTGGGTTCGGTTAACGAAATAATAATTCCATTCTATGTGGGTGTACTAAAAAAACGTTTGACCATAAATTCTTACAAAACGTTTATCAGTCAAAATTTCCAATGGAGAAATCGTTAAGAAAACTGTATTAATAAAATTTATCAATTTCTAGAATTTATTTACCAAACACAGATTCAGCGAATCGACAAAGTATTTATAAAACAAATTGTATTACAAGTACATGATGTGTTCCGCGTGAGTGGGGACAAGAGGCGAAAAAACGAACGAACCCATTGGAAATAGGGGGGAAATGGGTGAGTGGAAGGGGCGCCGGGTGGCCCGGGAGTCGAGCGTTACGTACTTCCGCCGGAAATACAGTCTGCTCTAGATACGCCGGCCACTAAACATATTTCATACACTAAGTTTGAAGGCTATAGATGTAATCACACTATAAATCCTCGCAGAAGCATGAAAACAATATTACATAATATGAAAGTTAATACTTATTATTTGCGATCACGCATTTTTTTTTAATTTGTTCTCTTTATAACTTATATTCATGATATTACTATGATTTGTATATATATATATATATATACTCATAGACTATTAAAAACACAAAACATTTAGATTATATGTTCATGTAATGTACAGAATCTCAATGTGACATAAAATTATTTTAAATATCTTGAAAATTATTTAGTGTCACATTGAGATTTATCGAAAAAAGTTGTTAAGAGTGGGGAAATTGACAAAATTGGTATAAAATCAAAACAAACAAGAAAAGACATACAATATACATTTAGTTAATTTTTAATTAGTCCCCAGGAAAAGCAACTGCTACCGATTCAAAGTTCCTTCGGCCGGTCTTAACAATTCTTGTCCTCGTTCATTTTCATTACTGAATCTTAGTTATTTATTGGAACTGAAAAAGTAACGACAAATGTAGGCCCCGTATATTACTGTAGTTACTTTTTACTATATTTTTACTTTACGTTACTCTAGTACGTATGCCAGACCCACGTATAACTGCATACTTAGTTTTTTAAAGTAAAATTTTTCAAAATGTTACTATAAATTTTGAATGGCATAAAATGTTCTATGTCAATAAATTGGTTAGTAGTTTGGTTTTGATTTTTGATACTACGTAACTCTAATAACTTGGTAAATACAGTAGTCAGTACCTAAGTAACCCTAGTTACTAGTTATTCATCTATTCATGATTCTAGCTAGATAGCTAAAAAAATGTATCAGGCAATACATCTGTCTTCGATTTGATTTACCCGGATATATCGAGAGTCACCTGTCGTCAAGTAAATAAAACTATACTAATAATAGAAAACAACTATTCTATCCTACTAATTACAACAATTACTAAAAGTGTTTATAATAGTTATTATATACTTACATTCAACAAGGACCATAGCCTGTTGAATGTGTAAGTACATTCTTATTTAGTTTTATGTATATTATATGTTTAATATAATTTCATCAAAATAAAACAAAATACTCTATTAGGTGCTCGAATAATCACTTCTTACCTCTTCCGACCACTTAAGCAGATCATGCAGCTGTTAAAGTCCGTAGTCGAGTACTATTTTCAAAATGCAAGAACTGCAATTAAATATTCTTCCGTAGAGAACATAAATCTAGCTTTGGAATCTGCAGGAAATGCGAACAAAATTGCAATGCTTTTTTAGTCTTCTATTAGAATAGAAGATTCAAACTTAGTTTTAGGAAACAAATTTGTATTTGATTGCAATGTTTCTGTGTTGGTATAGGTATATCAAATCTAACGACAATTCGAAAATACTTGATTTTTTCTTACGTGAGAAAAATATCAAGAAAAATCGTTTACAAATATGGACTTCCAAAGTTGTTCTAACAAATATATTAGTGTAGCAGTTCCCTCTTTTTAGATTAATTTTGAGATAAAATATAGATTACATCTGTCGTTATGTACCTATCTTCAGGTCAAGTTTCTTTAAAAAACTGTATCGAAATTTGTAATATTAGTATGTATATGTATTTACATACAAAATTTATCAATTATTTCATTTGTTTAATCTTATATTTATACAAATTCATCATAAAACATACTCACAATACTACAGAAGAATATTAAGTACTATCATCCCTTCAGCAGTTGTGTAAAAAATGGCACTCTAATTCCCATA